GGAATGACAAAGGCTGTGGAGATGGAGTCTTGAAGATAGGTTGATGACGATGTGACTCAAGTCCCAAATGTTTGCATTTTACGCCCTGGAATGACACTCAACGATCGCGTGATCTTCCTCGGCGTCTGATTGTTTTTGGGTGTTCAGCGGGGAGGTGTCATTCTGGGGCAGGATGGTCATGTAGGAGCACTAGGAGGAGCCAGTGAGGAACCTGATGTTGACTCACAGCATGGTATTCGTGTCTCATGTTCTACTGTTCAGGATATAGTGAAGGTTTCAACAAACTTAACAAAAAACTCTAACAAAATAAATGACCTACTGCAGCTTTAAATGAATGTGATTGTCCTGACGTTCCTTGACTCTGTTCACACAGGACATCTGAACACACAATGCATTGAGATAATTCCATTATAGTTTTGGTGTTTTATTTAACTTTTGCCTGTGGGCGGTGAGACTGCAGTTAGTATGTGAAATTGAGCTCAGGCACACAGCCATTCACTGGATGGACACACTTCCTCTCCCTCACCCCCACTTGTATGTGCTCGTGTGGCTTCCATGGTAATGCATGTGAAAGCAGAATCAGTAAGCGAGGGAAGCGTTCAGGTTTACATTTGTAGTCCAAGTCGTATTGACCGACTGTGGATTTTGTTCTTCGTCTCTTGCTGTTATATAACTGTCCTGCTGCTGTCACCTCTGGCAGCTCGCATGTTGGCAAACTCAAGTAGCCACGATATGAAAATATAAATGATTGCCCAACATGCTAACAGCAGCTGCAGCTAGCACCAGTTAGCCATTACTCTAGCAACAAGTTAAGCTATCTGTCCACCAGGAAACTGTACATCACAGAGCTGAGGCAAAGCAGCCAGAGGACATCAGAAAATTCAACTTCAATTCAGTTCAGTTTTATTTGTATAACAAGTTATTTTAGGACACTTTTCAAGAGTCTAGACCGTACGCCTTATACAATTATTTAGAGACCCAACAGTTCCCACCATGGGAAAGTAAACCAGAAAAAAACAGCCAAGGTTTTCTCCAATTTCACCAAATCTGTGAATAAAGTAGGGCTGTGCCCAAAGAGTGGAGGATTTAAGTCAACAGTTAAGAAGACCCTGAGTGGACGGCGCAGTACACACACTGCAGCTGTAGAGCCAGAATATTTTCACATCTCACTCTGTCAATAAGGGGTTTCTTTTGGCTACTTTGACAACAGGGAGAGTCACAGAGCCTCCAACAAGGACTCTGACTGTGGGGAGAATGAGGACACGGCGGGGACGGGCTGGGACAGGCATTGAAACGTGAGGTAGGCTAAAACATGACACTCATGTAGCCGCGTTTCCTCTGCAGGAACTGCTGATACAGGAGTTTACTGTGGCGCTGAACTGGCAGAAAAGGAGCAAATAGTTGGATCCTCATATAATACAAGAGGCATATTAATAGCAGGTGTTAACAGGCTCTGTGTATCCTGATATCTGCAAAGAGCCCTTTCTTATATGTACAAAGTTACTCCTTTGTACTATTTAGACGTAGAATATTAATGATGCATGTTAAAATGCTTTGAGTCTTCAGTTCTCCTTTTAAAAAGAGACAATCTGCACTCCTATACCTTTGCAGTCCATTGCCTCCCCCTCCCCTGTTTCCAGCAGGGGAAGTGCATATTGGAGGGGGAGGCAGTCTTAGAAATTAAAATCGAGTATTATCCATATGTCAGACAGCTGTACATTCCACAGCCAAGCCCAGGATCTATGTTACCGAAATAACAGAGTGACTGACAGTGGGCGAGCCAGCTAGGCCACAACAAGAGAGAGGGAGAAAGACAGAGAGAGACGTTTGAGGACGTATTGTTTGTAAAATCCTCTCTCTCCTGCAGCTCAGAGCACAAGAGTTTTCATCACCTCTTTGTCCTCCTCTTGTTGTTGGACTGTTTCTGTTTAACAGCAGGAATTACAGCATGAGAAGCTGTATTGTAGAAATGATGGCTAGATTCTTGTCATTATCAATTCCTACTTAACTTTCTATTCACTTTTTTTACCCATCATCAGGGCTGTGTATGGGCTAGAGTCTGGCAATGAAATAGGTATCATGATACAGGGGTTACAACTTAATACATTGTGATGAACTGTCACAGTGTAAAGAACAAACCACCTTATGCATACAATGTGAGGAAAGAGTAACCTGGTTTATGCAACCAGAGCAGGTTGTCATTTTTGAGAACATTACCAAAAAATGTCCACAATACCTTATTTTGAATGTTTTCTTGCACCCCTTTTAATAATTTATTTAATAATCGACTAATTGTTTGGTCTATCGAATATCAGAAAATATTCTAAACAAATACTGATCACAAATTTTTATGTCCTCAGATGTCATGTGTTGTCCAACAAATTAGGGCTGCACAATTAATTGAAATATATGTCCACTGTGACCATGTGCAATATCCAAGTCACAGAAGTCACAGTTTAAAAAAAAGATTGTGGTGATAAAACAGCATTATAATGCAGCACTGTAGTGCTGAACAGATGTAAGAAAACATATTTGTTTGGTACGGACAAATATCACGTTGTCATGATTTTAATAGTTTTTCTTTTTCAGTGAAAATGAAAATGATGAATAATATATTTCGTGCCATCCAAAAGATAAACCCATTCAGTTTACTATCACACCTGGAACTAGTGACTGTTTAGAAATGTTGTTGACATAAACCAATACAGTTTTCCATCTATTGATTCATCTATTGATTAATCCATTCATTTATAGTTTGAGCTCTGGTGAGTCAAGCTGTCCATTGTGCTTGAAGAAATACACACATTTAATTTTGTGCTACGAGTCACCTGTAACAACAGAATAAAGCTAAAATCACTCTGAAATAGTTATTTATTTGCACATTGCTGTCTTACAGAACACATTCACTCCCTGTCTTTGCAGTAATCCTATTTGATGTGTTTGTGCAGCAGCAGCTATTTGCTCCTCAAACATAAACGTGTCTGACGGGATGGACAAAGGTTAAAAGATGACTCGCAACGTCTGTCCATTCTCCATCTATCAGTCTTACAGAGGACACAGACGCCACACTATCACTCTCTTCCACTGATTATGTATCATTCAGCGATGAGCCGTGGTGTCACTCAGTCTGTACATCTATTCTTATAAAATGACGCCAGACCCTGTTCAGTCCTGACCTCTGTACTGGGACCAGACCAGTCTCCACCAAAAGACCAGTTAATGCTGGTGGAGTCTGGCAGGGGGGGGCTGGGCTGTTTGTGAGCAGAAATCTAATATCATAATATCAACCAGTAACAC